TGTTCTGAATGGGTATATGTACAGTGTGCCCTGGTTTGTCAGGCTCTGAAAGGGTGCATGTACAGTGTGCCCTGGTTTTTCCAGTTCTGAATGGGTATATGTACAGTGTGCCCTGGTTTGTCAGGCTCTGAAAGGGTGCATGTACAGTGTGCCTTGGTTTGTCTAGCTCTGAAAGGGTATATGTACAGTGTGCCCTGGTTTGTCCAGTTCTGAAAGGGTGTATGTACAGTGTGCCTTGGTTTGTCCAGTTCTGAACAGGTATATGTACAGTGTGCCCTGGTTTGTCCAGTTCTGAATGGGTACATTTACAGTGTGCCTTGGTTTGTCCAGTTCTGAAAGGGTACATGTACAGTGTGCCTTGGTTTGTCCAGTTCTGAAAGGGTGCATGTACAGTGTGCCTTGGTTTGTCCAGTTCTGAAAGGGTACATGTACAGTGTGCCCTGGTTTGTCCAGTTCTGAAAGGGTATATGTACAGTGTGCCTTGGTTTGTCTAGCTCTGAAAGGGTATATGTACAGTGTGCCCTGGTTTGTCCAGTTCTGAACGGGTATATGTACAGTGTGCCTTGGTTTGTCCAGTTCTGAAAGGGTGCATGTACAGTGTGCCTTTGTTTGTCCAGTTCTAAAGAGTATATGTACAGTGTCCCCTGGTTTGTCCAGTTCTGAACGGGTATATGTACAGTGTGCCCTGGTTTGTCCAGTTCTGAAAAGGTACATGTACAGTGTGCCTTGGTTTGCCCAGTTCTGAACGGGTATATGTACAATGTGCCCTGGTTTGTCCAGTTCTGAAAGGGTATATGTACAGTGTGCCTTGGTTTGCCCAGTTCTGAAAGGGTCTATGTACAGTGTGCCTTGGTTTGTCCAGTTCTGAACGGGTATATGTACAGTGTGCCTTGGTTTGTCCAGTTCTGAACGGGTATATGTACAGTGTGCCTTGATTTGTCCAGTTCTGAATGGGTATATGTACAGTGTGCCCTGGTTTGTTAAGTTCTGAATGGGTACATGTACAGTGTGCC